GTGATACCATGTTGTTGAATGTCCTAATTTGACATTTCAAATTCAGTATGTTAGCCAAAAACTGACAGCAAAAATACAGTAATTAATGATTCACCACAATAAACTACATTAAAAGGGGACTGAGAATTTGTTTTTATGTTATATGGGGTTGAGTTTGTCTCTTCAGTCATAGAGGAGTGTTCTATGAGATTAGAGTTAAAGAACAACAGCAAATCCTATTCAATGCTATTTAGAACCAAAAAAGAATTTCGGTTCTAGATTAAATTTACAGGGAAGGCCAGGGTGGAGCCAGTGCTTTTTTTTATAAGGCCACAGAAAGAAATAAAAAAAAATAAACAGGGAAAACTAAATAACTATTGGGGAAAGAGTGCATCATTACGTACATTAAGTGAGCCACAAAGCCAAGTTTTCAAACTCCTGATCTATCAGATGAAAGCTGTGATCCAACTTATAACTGAATTGTAAAAAAAAATGTAATTGTTCTAAAAACACATGTTAGAGCTCCATTAGCTTATTTATAACAATTCAATGGGAATTTCCTCCCTTATTTTAAATATAAATCTTCTTATTCCATTGGCAAAAGGCTTTGTTTTTATTCCACTCTATAAAACCTCGAACTCAATGCTATTTCTGACATATTGAATTAAAAAAGCTTCCTGGATGGGAAGCGAAACGTCTTCAAATTTTTAAACAAAGTCCGGTGGATTGTTTTTTTTTTTTTACTCTTTTGGAATACCTCCTCTAATCAAGAGAAAAATACAATTATTTCAATAGACTTAGCTATATTTCAATATGCTTTGATAGATTGATTGACTTTATTGATCTCACAGTGGAGAAATTTACTCGTTAAATCAGCTCAAATAATCAAAGGAGAAGAAGAAGGTGACAAAGGAGGAAAAAGGTGCATATACATTATATACAGTGCGTCCACGTATGACAGCTTTAATTATTTATTTTTAGTTAGTTTATTATACAGGGTTATTCATATAGATGAGTATTTATATTTACATATTTTCACTACAGGGGCCATAACAGGAGCCAGTTCTAAGGGGCCACTGGCCCCTGTCATGCTTTGACCTGGCGTCAGTGTCTGCCTATCACTAAGTCCATGTCTGTCCACCAGAGGCTTAGCCAGAAAATGTTTTCTGAGGGTGGCCAGGCAATAACCAATGTACACTGAGGGATGGCCGAAAGTGGATGGGCACCAGAACCTCAGGGTCAGGCCAAAGATAAGACAAACTATACTTTCCTACAGCCTTAGCTAACAAATAGAGACATATATTTAAACATCTATGCTTTCTAGATAAAAGGTATAGTGGATTAAATACTTTTAGGTTTGAGTTCTGAGGCAAACATCTTTTCCACTGTCATTACTTACCTACTTTTATCGATAATCATTCTGCATAAAATGTATATTTACAAGTGCTAATATCCACATAAATCAATTATTTTATATGTTTTTATTACAATAGTTATCTATTTATAATTTCACTGAAGACTCCTAGATGACTTGCAGACACATTATTTTCTCTTTACCCAATATTACAAAATCTAGTTCTGAAAAGAGCATGAATTCTGTACTTATCATCTTTAATGTTAGTATATTGATGTGTATAATTAACCACAGCATTTTTGTTGTCAAGAAATTATGAATAAATGAAAAAAATAATAGTAAAGTAATATATTAAAAATTTAACTGAATATTCCACTTGAGAGTATTACTGCTGCCACCATCTGTATTAGATGGGAATAAATGGTAGGGGTGGCCAATGATTATCTAGCTCCGCCCCTGCTGTACACCCCTATGAAAGTATACTAGAGCCGCTATTAAACCTTTCCCAAATAGTTGAAAACGTTGTGAATCTTATAATTTGTTGTATTTTCTATTTCTGGGTCGTCTCCCTCCTGTGCCGAGTTTCTGAAATCCTGACGTTGTCCTTTGAACGTGAACGCAGCACAGCTTGTGATGTGAGGAGGAGGAGGAGGAGGAGGAGGAGGAGGAGGATGGTTAAAAGGCTCTGTGGTGCCAGTTCTGCTGCAGTGTGGGATCCATCGGACCTCTCAGCACCTGTCCTCTTCTGTTGTTCCCCTGAGAAGCGCCGTAAAGCTGGAGCCGGCGTCGCACTGCCCGCCGGAGCAGCAGGTCCAGTGGGGCGGCGCGGAGCGGCAGCCTCCGCCTTGGACCGACGAGCTGGCTGACATGTCCCGGCACATCTACACCCGACACGGGATAGGAGACGGGCTGCAGAAGCCTGTCTTTCAGGTAAGAGGGAAATAGAAAACAACAAAAAATATCTTGAAAAATTATAAAAAATGAATAAAGGTCTTTAAAACTTTCTAAAGGTTGTATAATTAAACAAAAAGCTAGATGTAGTAATTAATCTTCCTTCTAAAAAAATTCATGAGAAGGAAATTAGTCTTTTTTTTAAAAAGACAGGAACCCTCAAAAGACCCTGAGCTGATTTCAAACTGCCCTGGATGTAAGTACAGATCCAGTCTTCATCACTCCTCACTTCTCCCTGAGGTGTCATCATCCAGGGAGAGAAGCTCAGCTCAGACACAGAGAGGAATGGATGTATTAAAGAGAAAGAAGATGAAATTGGCTGCTCAATTATTAAACATTTCCTAATGGAACTCATTATATGATGTCATCTATCGAGTGATTCAGATCAGGGATCTCAGCAGGGTTTGCTTTATGTCAGGAAGCTTTGTCCCACATCTGTAACTGCTCTGGAAAATCTAAAGAAAAACATGCAGATCACAATAAAAGGTAAAAAAAAAAATGACAATCCTTTTTTAAAAAACAGCTTTTATTAAAGACATCTTTATTCAATAAAAAATTGACCCTCCAACCCATTTTGCCCCAGTTATGACTAGTGTTGCACCGATACAGATACCAGTATCGGGCGGGGAAATGAAAATATTTCTGTAGACTTTTGGAGTCTGTTTTTATTCTTGTGGTATCGAAAATGGTATCGAGTATCGAATATTTTCCTTAGTATCGGTATCGAGTTGAAAAGTTTAGTATCGTGACAACCCTACTTCCTTGTCATCCACATTCTTGTGACGGTTGGCATATGGTGTAATTTTCTATTTCTTCAAACTGTAAATCCTTGCAACAAACTAAATTATAATACAACTAAAATGCTTTCTTTAAACCAAACTACAGTGTTCCTCTTATATTCAAATATTTTGCAAAGATATGTTGCGGCGCATGATGGGGTTTTGCATCTAAAGGCTAACGTTTCCCGTCTTACGTGCATTGTTGCAGGTTGGGTCAGTCACTGTCGCGTCCGTGTTAATAACCAAAACCAGTAAAACCGCATTATAGAAGTGTTGGTGATGGTTGTCGTGTGATGATGGAAGATAGATCGGTTAATCCACAATGTGTATTCGTATGGTGTTTCACATTCGAGACGCTCGTGTTTGGCTGTGCTTCAATAAGTCGGCCGGTGGAAAAATGCCAGGGCCGAAAATCGTTCCCAGTCCGAGCCTACAGGTAGGCAATAAAAAGTTCTACTGGATTCACTTTGTATTAGTCTTTCTCCTGCTTCACAAAGGTAGGCAGCAGCTTGACAAAGCCATGATGGCAATTATTTTACATTCAAGTAATATGCAGTTCTTCATGTATACACAAACACATCAATTTCAAAGAGATGGTATCGGCCAATACTGCACAGCCAGGTATCGGTATTGGGGCCAAAAAATGGCGACGGTGCAACACTAGTTATGACAAATTATAAGGAGTGCTAATCTGTTCAAATCTGTTTTGAGTTTAATTTCAGTTTTCCTGAAATCTTCCCTTGAGATCAGCCATTCCCCCTCGCAGATTAGGGTACAGATTGAGCGTTAGAAAATCAACAAGCGTCCAGATGCTGTCTCCAGTCATCAGGGGACAGAATGCCACATGCAGACAGAGCTAAAAGAGAAGTGAGGATGTTTGTTATGATTTAGATTTAGATGAGCTTTATTGATCCTACAGCGGAGAAATTCACTGGTCACATATTGGCATAGTAATTAA